GGCATATGTGTGTTTCTCCCCCTGCCCTCCTGGGGTGCAAGCAGTGGTGGGTGCTGCCCCCACCCCAATAGCTGTTCCTGTATCCCATGCCCCTGCCCCCTCCCTCACTGCGGGGGTGGGGGGGTGTTGATCTGCCTCTCCTTCTGACTTACCAGCTGGAGGCATCTCTCCACACTGCTGGTTCTGCTCCATGTGGCTGCGCATAGCACAGACATTTATCGGCCAAATTATCAGCCCCATCGGGCTGATGAACAATTTTCTTTATATTGGACTGATGTATCAATGTATCTCGAGTTGTGCTGCATCCCCTGCCCATCCAGTGGCAGGAGATGCCACTTGGGTGGGCAGGCGGCGTGTGTGGCTAGCACAGGGCTTCTGGGGTAAAAGGCAGTAGGGTGGAGAGTCCTGAGCCTGCAGTGGGCAGCCTGCCTTCCCCCGCCCCGTGCACAAATCTGGGGGGGCACATGCCTCCCATACCTCCCCAGGGTGCACAGCAGTGGAGAGCTTCTGTGCCCCCTGAACGAGCTGCCCGCAGCTCTTTCCTGCTCCCTGCCCCAACCCCAGGTTCCCATTCGTTGCCCTGGCTGGACAGTGCCCCCACTCCCTCACTCACTTGAGGGGGGCCTCCATCCCCCATTCCCCTTCCCCTCTACAGATTTACTGCAGGGCGCTGCTCTCCACACTGCCCAGCTATATTCCTGGCCATGTACATGCACACAACATCTGTGGGCACTGGTCAGAATGCACAGTTATCAGTACATTATTGGCTACACTGGCAAAAAAAAAAAAAGGCTGATGGCTAATAATGTTAATTTTCCTTTTATTGGTGCTGATCTGAGATGACACACCAATATATCAGTGTACCTCTAGTAAGGAAGTATAACTTCATGGTATACTTCCCTAGAATAGCTTATTCATAACTTAGTTCAGTTTCAAATGTTACCCCATGAGCTGGGTCATTTAGCCTGTGGCCTTGTGCATGACTCTTGCCACCATGCCAGGGCTTCTATGTGGAGCTGCCTCCATGACTTGGTGTCTTGCAGATGCCTGAAAAGCAGGGAATGCAGCCCTCCAACCAATTTAAATTCAGTACTCCTCTTCTCCTCCCCCCCCCCCCTTTTGCTAATCACTAAAACTTCTTCTCTAGTCTCTAGCTGAGGTCCAACTTTGTTAATACAGGGCAATATTACCATGTCTTAAAGTGGTAAAGTACTTATCTAAGCTGTAAAGTGACTGACATTGCAGTAGGATATTGTTTTAGATCTTGCCCTTGCCTATCAGGCACTCCATATTGGATGTGGAGTAGCTGTGGGAAGTCTCCCTCCACTATCCCTTGGTTTGTGGCTTTATCTTGTTATGACTGTCTTTAGTATGACCTTAAATTAATGCCACATATATGCTAAATGGATCAGCAGTGCATGGGGCAGAGCAGGAAATCTGAAAATGAGGAGGAAGAGATGGTTGGTAAACAAGAAAATGGTGTCTGTGTAGAATTTTGATGTTTGGAAGGCTGTACCTTCAAATGCTTGGATTCTTCTCAGCCCGGGACTCCAAATCCTGGGAAATTGATTCATCAAGCACATGCATGAAGAGTGTATGATTTGAGTTGAATGATCTTCTGGTTAGATGACAAGTTGTCTGGTCCTCTTTATTATGGAAGCAATTTATTAATTTTTAAAATGGCAGCCTAAACTTTAATATTATGATCTCTTTTTATAAAGAACTTCAAGTGCATCTGTTGAATCTGAGAGAATAGTCACCCCTTTCCCTCCCTCAGCTCGCCCAATGCTAGTGGAAATTCTAGTGCCATGCACATAAAATGCTATATATATATATAAATTTATATATATATATAAAGTGTAGCTTCAGAAAGATGCCCTGTTTCCCTGCATTGTGTATTTTGAACCGACTTCCCAACCCAGTCTGAAATGTTGTTTTTTACATGACTGTCACTACTAGTTTTGCATTTGATAGCATAAAAAAGGGAATGACATCTAACTCAGACAAAAACCACGAAGGACCAGTTAAGCATACATCTTTCTGCTACTGTAACATTCATAATAATAAATTCAGTTTAACCCTACAATGTTGAAAGTGTTAGTCTGTTTAGCAGTTTGTTCTTGTAAACCTTACTCTTCAGCAGGATGTGTTATCTCCTGTAGTGTATGGATCTTGCTTTGATCATTTCATAGTAAGACTACAATGTCATCAGTCAGCTTGAGACTTCACCCTGAGTTAATTTTGCTGCTGCTGCTACCTGATCTTCATTCTTCTTTACATTTGTAGCTTAATTAAAACAAATGAAATGGCATCTTTGATCCTTTCCTTACATAAAAATCTAAGAACACGAGGCTGTCCAAAATTCCTTAATGGAATATAGGAAAACCTCTTAACTAACAAAAGATCAATATTGCAATGGTAACGCTTCAAATCTGGCATGGTGTTTAAAAGCAAAATAACTTTTAAAAGTGATCTGCTTTAGTTAACATACTTGAGTTTTCAGATGTGACTTCTTAATATCGCCAATTCCAAAAATATAAATGCATTAGTGTAGTAGTAACTGGAAATCCTTTGCTTTATACTTTTTTACAAGTTTGGGAGCCCTTTCATTAACTCAGTTGCAACCCAATGCTTTGGATCACAAGGGTTTAGGGTAAGGAAATCACAACTGATAAATGAATGTGCCTTATGGCATTACCCAAATTTTACACCAGGTTCGTGGGCTTAAAAAAAACAAAACAAAAAAAAAACAAATCAGGCAGTAGCAAGGATGTCTTGATCTGAAGGGGAAGTTTGAGTAATATGGGATATTGACAACTACTTTGTGTTTTCTGTGATGAAAACAAACTAGCCAGTGACTAGTTATCTGCAGAACAGTTGTACAATGCCCATTTGAACTTGTTTGCCTTCTTTTTGAAGTTCTGTACTTAAGGACCAGTTTAAAATGGACACTAAAATTTGACAGTTTCAATTTTCTTTTTTACTTTAAAACTTTCTATTCTATACTGGCCAGGAATATGGTACTGATCTAAGCCAGGAGTTGACTCAAGCTTCTGGCTTGAGTCGTAAATCTTATTACACTTTTCTTTATCAGCTGTGATCCACTACAGTTTCATACACTTGTTTTCAAATATGAAGCAACAAGACTAATAACAGAATGTGGCCTTTTTTATTTTTTGCTACCTTATTTTTGTTCATGTTCATACAATTAGTATGAACATGGATATTAAACTTTTGGTAAACTGGATAAACATACCTATTACATGGTAACACTAATTTCCTCAGCTGACACAGTTCCAGTGTGTTAAATAAAATTAAAATGAATAAAACAACATTACATGAATATTTATAAAATATATGGTTGCAACACTGAATCTTTATTACCAATATTCTTGAACAATTTTTCTCTGGTACCATTTAAGCAGAATTGAATAGTGAACGTGAGGGATCACGGGTTCACTAACAAAAACAATGTTCTAAACAATTTAGAAGATCAAACTTTGGCAGTCTATTGGTATAAGAGATGAGTTTGTCTCCTCTAAATCTTAAGTGGTATATAACATCTGTCTTTCTCTCTTGCAGTGACTATTTATTCAAGCTACTTCTGATTGGAGACTCCGGTGTTGGGAAATCTTGCCTTCTGCTTAGGTTTGCCGTAAGTTCAGTTCTGCTTCCAAAATTTCTGTCTTAACTGCTTAAAACCAGTTTAATTCCATTGAGTACTGCTATATGACTTAACAAGAGCTTGTATGGGGGGGGGGAGGGCAAAGGGCTTGGGGTACTCTGTTTATTCCTAATAGCATGTCTCCACCTGACAGAGTAAAGGAATAAAGTAATGATATCAATTTATGTATTGCTCTTAGCCATGAATAAGTCATAATTTCAAGTGTAACTTGAATTGAGCAAAGAGCTGTTGCTTCAAGTGTGTGGGGCTTCTGTCTGTGTAGGTATTTAAATTACTTAATACTTACCTGTGCTCTGACAGGCATTTCACTATTTACCTAATGTGCAAAAGTGCTTATGATAAACTTGTCCAAAGTCCTTAAAATGAAACAATTTAGAAATCAAGGAGAATTTTTGCAAATATTTTCAAATTCCAGGTTGCATATGTTGTTCTGATAACAGTTGAACACTGTACCTTCAGCTTTGTTCAGTATAGATTTTGTTTTTGTCAGCATTTAAAATGTATGATCTCAAAGACTGAAATGCAATTATTAGTACCTTTTTAAAAATCAGTACCTTTTTAAAAAAAAAAAAAGAGGTGGCTGTACTTCTGTTCTAGAAGAAAATCTAGACTCTGACTTAAAAAGGTTTGTTTGAACTTGTAGCAGTGCTGTGAAATGGCAGACTAGTAATAATTCAATAAAGCAGATGGGACCTGGGGTGGAGGAGGGCCTTCTATACACCATTAGCAAAATGTGACCTCACCTGCTAAAAATTAATAGCTTTTCTTGACTCTAGCCAGAACAAATGGACATTGGCTTGGGCAGAGCACACCTTGGTGACAGCATAATGTAAACTTTTCTGGATGGTGACATGATGAAAATCTCATCCATACAACCAGCAGTTGCCGAGTCATTGTACAAATACTTGACTCTTTGTCCCTAACATTACAGGAGTCCTTTTTTAGTAAAGCAAACATCACTTTAGTGATTTGACCTCCACCTGTGCAATGCATTTCTGAGGTTCCCTTCCATGCTAAGGATTGCTGTGGGTCCTGTAGTGCAATAAACAGCCAAGTGTTCGCCTGATCTGATTCCCAAGCCTTGAATGCTTCTGACTAACTTGGCTGGTGTTGGGACAAGCCAGGAACCACCCAATAGAATTAAATCTTCCATTTTAATAGGAAGAACATGGAAATTGCCACAATCTAGGAAACTAGCTCTGTGCAAGGGGCTTGTAATTCTCCACTATACTCTTGCTGTAATCCTGAAGCCATTCATTGGGTTCATGTCTGTATTGGTGCCAAAATATTTAATTCTAAAGCCTGTCACTGGCTATGCTTTGCATATATAGATCTACACATTACTCATTTATGCAGCCTATTAAAGCTACAAAAATCAACTTGTGCACAAAGCTCAAGCTCATGATAATGATACCAGTCAAGCAAAATGTTAAGGCTGTAGCAGTAGGATTGTTCCAGTTTGTTTTCCTGTAGGAGTAATGTAGTCCTTCTGAGTTTACCTGATGTTTTGTTCTGAATTTTAACTTTATGCCTGCTTATAAAGAGTCAGTGTTCAGGACAAGAGATGAAATCTTCAACTATATTGGAATTGAAGCTGCATCTGCTGTAAAGCTTTGGTTTTAAATTTTAAATGTTGGCAACTTTGCATCTGGGATGATAGGCCAAGCAGCATTGGAATAATTAATTTTAAGTAAAATCTAGTCATTACAAATGCATAATTGGCATGTTGCATAACTTCCGTAGGCTAAAACAGACTTATTTAATTAACTGATCATTTACCTGGCTTAAATGCCCAAGTCTTAAAAGCAATTGGGGCTTGTGGTAGAGGTGATATCTCTTATTAGACCCACAAGTATTTTTGCAAAAAAAAAAAAAATCTTTTAATTGCAAGCTTTTGTTTAGTGTAGCGTCACGCCTAAAAGGAACAAGCTGGTCTATCTTCTAGTACAGTAGCCCCAGCCTCTTCTGGCAGGTGTGCTGCAAGTTAAGCTCTGCACTTCCAAGGTATGTCCAGTATCCATTTCCTCTGCCCAGTATGCTCTCCAGTTGCTCCCTGTTCCCTCCCTTGTTCATCACATGCCACAAACAGGCTGCCCATGTTACTTGTGGCATATGTACCACAGCTTAGCTACTATAGAATACCATTGCTCTTTCCTTTTAAGTTCTTCTGCACAGATGTTTGTTACTTAAATTCATCCTCAGGTCTGACTTCTTGCTGTCTGGTTCCTTCCCTTCATGGCAGTTGTGGGTTGGTTTGCTTTTTGTTCTACAGCTCCAGCGCTGATAATGAAGATGTAAATTGCTTAGCTCACTGAAATTCTCGGTGGATTGTATTGTTAAACTTCTAGTAGGATGTAATTTTCTCATCTGATTGCAGACCTGTATCATAGGAGCTAGGTGAAATAGCTGCATTTTTGTGAATTATCTTTTTGACTACTTCATACATTTCATAGACATTAGGGCTGGAAGGGACCTCAGAAGATTGACTCCAGCCCCCTGCCCAAAGGGCAGGAAGTCAGCTGGGGTCATAGGATCCCAGCAAGATAAGCATCCAAATTTTTCTTGAAGGTGTTCAGCGTAGGTGCTTGAACTACCTCTGATGGCAGGCTGTTCCAGACCTTGGGGGCTCAGACGGTAAAGAAATTCTTCCTTATGTCCAGCCTGAAATGGTCTTGCAGTAATTTTTATAACCATTTGACCTCATCATCCCTTGGGGTGCTCTGGTGAACAAATGTTCCCCCAGATACTGATGGCCGCCCCTGATAAAAACTTACAGGTGGCCATCAGATCACCCCTGAGCCTGTGCTTTTCCAGGCTAAAGAGCCCCATAGACCTTACAACGACAGGCTGAGAGCTGTTTTCCTGACCTCTGACCCTTTGGCGCGTGGCTCTTCTCTGGACTCTCTCAAGCTTCTCCACATCCTTTTTTGAATTGTGCGGCCCAAAACTGGACACCATACTCCAGCTGCGGCCTCACCAAGGCAGAGTACAATGGGAGAATGATGTCCCGGGATTTTGCTTGCAAAGCATCTATGGATGCAAGCCAGAGTTTTGGTCGCTTTACTAGCCGCAGCATCATATTGCAGGCTCGTGTTCATCTTGTGGTCAGTGATGACCTCCAAGTCTTTCTTCTGTAGTGCTAGCCAGCGTAGCACTGCTGAGCCTATAAGGATGCTGCAGGTTTTTCCTCCCAAGGTGGAGAACCTTGCACTTCTTTCAACTGAAGATTTCCTGTGCATATCATTAAGTAATAATTCTGCTACCTTTACACAGGAGCCTGCTACAGTAGAAAATAGCACCTTGGACCAGAGCTATTCAATGTCTTCATCGGTGACTTGATTGATGGCATGGAAAGCACCCTGTCTAAGTTCACAGATGAATACCAAATTATGGGGCAAAGTTGACACACCAGAGGGTACGGAACAGATGCAGGCGGATCTGGATAGGTTGGAAAGATGGGCAGAATGAAATAGGATGCAGCTCAAGAAGCTATGCCACTGTAATTGCCTTTTAAAAAAAAAAAAAATTAGGTCCCAACTATAAATGGTAATAAAATTGATACTTGGAGGCAAAACTGCTTAGGAACTTAAAGAAGGGATGGCTGAACATCCCTAACGGCAGGGTTTCTAGTAGGACAACTGACTGATTTGCAGATTCTTCACTTCATTAACAAGACTGACCAAACTTGGACAGAGGGGCTTTGGTACAAGATTTAGACTCTTAGCATTTTGTAGGATTTTTTTCAAAAGCTGCTAAAT